AGCATCACCTGTGGCCACCGAGGCAAAGCTGCTCCTCTTCCCCAGGCACTTCGTTCACCACAGAGGGCCACAAGGTGCCAGGGATAGCTGTGGGCGAATTCTAGGTTGCGCACTATCTCGTTGGGCTTGATCTGGGAGCATTGGTGCGCACGGCTGCGAACCATAAGCCAGAGGCCCTGGCAATGAATGCCAGCAAAGCCCGCCAACGTCCGCAAGAGATGGCCACGGGCCACATAAGCCATTGCAAACAAAACAGCTGGGCCTTCGCAGTGCGGAGCGACTCTTCCAAGCTTGGCCACACAGGAGGGGGAGGAGGAAAAGGGGGAGGAGGAGGAGGAGGAGGAGGAGGAGGAGGAGGAGGAGGAGGAGGAGGAGGAGGAGGAAGAGGAGGAGGAGGAGGAGGAGGAGGAGGACGAGGACGAGGAGGAGGAGGAGGAGGAGGAGGAGGAGGAGGAAGAAGAGGGGGACGAGGAGGAGGAGGAGGAGGCGGAGGAGGAGAAGAAGCAGCAGCAGCAGCAGCAGGACGGCAGCGAGCGGCGGGAGGCAGAGTATGCCAGGGGTAACAGCCTCCCAAGAAGGCGCCGGGGCTTCGTGGAAGGCACTAGGCCCTGTAAAACGATGCCCTCCGTACCTCCACACCTTCGACGGAGTGGGCTGCAGGGGGCCTCCCGGGAAGGCTGGCCCCCGCTCTGACAGTGCCTCCTGTCCGCGCGCCGCGGCGGACGGCAGCCGAACGCAGGTACGCCAGAGGCAGAAGCGAGGACGCGTTCCGTGGACGCGCGCCTAGAAGAAAAGACAGCTTGACACGTTGGAATCGGCTCGCCCCCGCCCACCCCCCAAAAAAGAATGAAGGGGGGGGGGGAGGGCCTGGACACCGCCGGCCTCCCTAACCTCCTCTCCTCCCTCCAAGGGGGAGTGGTTCGAATCGGGGGGGGGCCCTGTCCAGTGGGAGGAGGGACTCGGAGGGGGGGGCCCTGTCCAATGGGGTGGGGGGGGGTCGAACTTCGAACCTGGGGGGGGGGCCCCTGAGTTGCAAGGGGGTTGGGCTCGAACCGCCCCCCTCCCCTCGCCTGTGCAGCGGGCGGTGGTGGTTCGAACCGGGGCGGGACCCCCTCCGCCCTCTCCCCTTTCATAGAATCCTACTATAGCTGAGTTCAACCTTACTAGCATCCATCCTAGCCGGGCTCGATCCAGCTCGAATGGCATCCCTCCCTGTGCGGGTCGGTTTGGGCGGGCGGGGCCCTATATGCATGGTGCTCGCTCGCCCACTCGAGGAAGCACGCGAGCGAGCGAGAGTGTCGGACGTATCGGTTCGGGTGGGCGGGACGTTCAATGCATGGTGTTTGCTCGCTCGCTCGCTCGAGCAAGCATGCCAGCCAGCCAGCGAGGGAAGGGGGGAGTCGGTCCTCGCGCTCGCTCGCTCGAGCAAGCGAGCGAGCGAGCAAGTCGGTCGGCTCGGATCGGGCGGGCGGGACATGGAATGCATTGTGCTCGCCTGCTCGCTCGCTCGCTCGCTCGAGCATCCGTGCGAGCGAGCCAGGGAGCAATCGTCGTCGTCGTCGACGCCGTCGTCGTTCATGCCCGACGGCGCTGGCGCTGGCGCCGGCGCTTGCCGTCGTCGGTTGCAGGGGGGGGGGGCCTGGTAGAGGGACCAGTCCCGGCGACGCGTCGGACCATTTCCGTCTCAGTGGGGCCAATCCCGGCGAGGCACGGTTCGCACTGGATTCCATCCTGGCTGCTTTTACACATAAGCTACACATTGACTTTAGTCCGAAGTTCAATGGGTCTCCTCAAGGATGCCCCCCCTACAATTCACGGGAGGGGAGCCTAACCCGCCCCCCTTGAGTGAGGGGGGGCGGTTCGAACCCCCCCCTTCCAACTTGGGGGAGGGGGGGGGCCCGGTTCGAATCCCCCCGCTCCTTCCAAGCGTCCACAGAACGCGTTCTTCCAAAGGTGGGCCACCTGGCTTTTCCAAGAGATCCGACGTCGTGTTTTTCTTTCCCCTCCGGGGTCCCCAAGGCAGTCTCGACCCCTTCCCCGGGACCGGTGTTTCCTCCTGAATCGTTTGTTCGCGGCCCCGAGGCCTGGCGAGGGCCCCCAGGGGCCGAAACCAGCGAAAAGCCTTCGTCCTGATCCTCCCTCGACCAGTTCTTCAGTCCAGAGGTTTGCGCCAAAAACATCGTCCTGCTGTTTTCGATGCGTTGGATTTCTGGGCTCGCACTTCGCGACGCCGCGAGCATGGACGTGATCCTCGCGACCGCGCGCCGCCCCTGCGGCGATCCCCAGGCCACGAGGCGTGCAGCGCCATCGATCGTGCCCCCGCCCCTGATGCTGGCCCAGACCTTCGACGACCCGATCCTCCTCCTCCTCCCCCTCCTCCTCCTCCTCCTCCCCCTCCTCCTCCTCCTCCTCCTCCTCCTCCTCCTCCTCCTCCTCCTCCTCCTCCTCCTCTCCCTCCTCCTCCTCCTCCTCCTCCTCCTCCTCCTCCTCCTCCTCCTCCTCCTCCGATCCCTTGGCCCGCGAGACCTCCCTCCTATCGACAGGGCTCCCCCTGGACCGATGTCTCATCCCGACCCGTTGTTTAGTGCCAGGAGGCCCAGAGGCGACCGATGGACGCTGCTGGTCGAGAACAAGCCAGCGCGATTCTTCTGAGCTGACCGAGGTTCTGGCTCAGATCTTCTCTGACCCGTCTCATAAGGACGCTCGATAAGGATGCAAGGGCCTTGCAAGGTTATTAGGGAGCTTCTCGAGCGGGGCGAGGCCAACACAAGTGGCTAAGGAGAGACCGATAAGGCAAGGGTGCAAGGGTACCGTTAGGAAAATCGTCCATCCCTTCAATGCGGGTTGCTTGTAATCGGACCCATATGAAGTCCCGTGAAGACTCTGGTGTTGTGCCTGTGCCTGTGCCATTGCTGTTTTGTCTCCTTGTCCGTCGTGCTTCAGCTGCCCAGCCCTGCAAGGGGCGAATGAGCGGAAGTACACATCAGCAGGAAGATGCTGCATTCCTGGAAACAGCCACTGTGTCGTTTGTGCACAGCGACCTGCCAAGATGGCAGCAAGATGGTCCGGCATAAACATGAGTGTTGACGCTTCGCGCATCCCCACCAGCCAATCCAAAAACGATGCCCAGGGAAGTTCAGGAGAACAGGGAAGTGTGGGAGCAAGAGAGGGGGCAGCTGACATCGTTCAAATAGGAGGAGGAGGAGCAGGAGGAGGAGAAGGAGGAGGAGGAGAAGGATGGAGAAGGATAGGGAACATGCAGCTGAGTAGGAGAAGGAGGAGGAGGCGGAGGAGGAGGAGGAGGAGGAGGAGGGCGGGCAGAAGACCAGAAGCCTTCTGGAGGCCTGTCGGAGTCTCTGTGGATCGATCTGGGGGGCTTCCCGGGAGGCCCTCTTGGGCCGTCTTGGGGGCCGCGTAGGGGCCTGTTGGGGGCCTCCTGGGGGGCTGCTGCGCGCATCTTGGGGCCATCTTTGGGCCCCCGTGGCGGGTCCTGGGCGCCCTCTTGGAGCCATACTGGGATGACCGTGGGGGTTCCTAAGTGGATAGGGGGGTTACAAGTGGATGCCAAGGTGGGTTATATCTGGCCCAACCTGGCTTACAAGTGGGTTACAAGTGCCCTAAGTAGCTTAGGGGGGTTAACGATCTGGGCCAGGTGGGCTCCGCCCACTTAGCCGAGTTATCGACCCCCCCCTAAGCTACTTAGGGCACTTGTAACCCACTCATAAGCCAGGTTGGGCCAGATATAACCTACCTTGGCATCCACTTGTAACCCCCCTATCCACTTAGGAACCCCCACGGTCATCCAAGTATTGGGGTATGTCCATCGACGAAGGGGAGGTCCCCACTTAGCGTCGCCCCCTTCTGGAGCTCCCCAAATCGCCCCTTGGGGCCCCCTTGGGGCGTTCTCGAGCGCTCTTAGGGGGCCGCCTTGGAGGCCTCGTGGGCCTCTCGTGGGGATCCCTTGGGCCCTCTTGGGGCCAGTGTCGGGCCTCCAAGGCCGATCAGAAGCAAGAGGGCGACGACGAAAGAGCGAAAGGGCAATACCGAAAAGCCATGATGGTGATGAGGAGGAGGAGGAGGAGGAAGAGGAGGAGATGAAGGCGGCGGAGGAGGAGGAGGAGGAGGCGGAGGAGGAGGAGGCGCAGGAGGAGGAGGCGGAGGAGGAGGAGGAGGAGGATGGACATTGGCGCCGTAGGCGCGTCCAAGGGAGGCCCCAAGCCCATGTCCACCACCACTACCAT